TCTTTTTTTTTTTTTTTTTTTACAGTGGCACACATATCTTTAGCCAACTAGAAATGTGCATTTGTGACGTTTTGTGTGTTTAGTTGAGGATGTGTGGTTTGGAGAAATATTTTCCCTTAATAATAATAATAATAATAATAAAAACAAGTTCACCCTTATTTCAGACAGCTCATTAACTCAGAATTATCTTAAACAAACAAGCACATACATACATAACATAGTTAGTTAGTTAGGTAACCATTGAAATGGCTGTTGGCAGGTTTTAGAGCTTCCACACTTGGGCCAAGTGGACACAGCAAGCTGATGCCGATTAATTGGTCTGACCTATCAGCCTATCACTGATAACATCACCTAATTAATATCAATGAGACAAGCTGATAAGGTTTCTAATGTGTTGTTCCAGATTGTTCCTGCGCCCTTGGGTCAGGTCCACTCTGTAAGATGACCCATGTAACCTTCTGCTTGAACTCCCTTGTGCAGCATAATTCAGTGCCTTGGCGTTGGCGCATGTGCCACACTTATATGCCAATTAGCACGGTGAAATGTCCCATCATTCATCACCCAGCAAATTCCCATGAACGCATGTGTATGTAAACGTGAACAATACCGACACCACCAACAATGTTGGACACAGTGGATGAGCAAGTTGTGTGTTACAGTTGAAAATGGAGGAATTATGCAGCAAAAAACAGAGAGATAAATGTGGCAATTTGTTCAGTAATTAGGCTGCGAAAGCTGGGAAAGGAAAACATGTCACCGGACTTCAGCTGTGGTGGATTAATAGCTGGCAATGCCCAGGGTGCACTGCCTCTGTGGACCGGGGTGGGTTTTAATGAGAAAGGACAAGAGAGAGAGAGAGAGAGAGAGAGAGAGAGAAAGAGAGGAAAGCGCTGAGCATTCTGGGCTATTCAGGGTATCAAAGGACACATATACAGCAGCCAACTCTGTGAAGAGGGACTCATGGATGGCGCTAAGGTCTTCTTGAGGCATTTTTTTATTAGTAATTGATATACTGAGACTGGAAGTAGAATGAAAGAGAAGAAAAGGAGGGGATGAAATGAGGAAAATGGGGATTGAGAAAGGAAAAGATGAGGTACAAGAAAGTGAGAACAGGAAGGAGGTTCTGGTTTGGTGCTTGTCGGTACTAAAGTTGTCAGCAAGGTGTAAAGTGGTGGTGTTATTGGTTGCTATGCCATTGCTAAAGGGTTCTGAGTGATGTTTGCTAGGTGGTTATTTACTGGCCTGAATCAAAATAGCCCACCCCATGTCATTATGTGTGTGTCTCATTGATGTGAATCATATCGTGTCAGAGTTATTATAGTTAAAGAGATCACCCAAAAATGAAAATTTATTCAAAAAGGAAAAATTCATTTACTCATCCTCAAATTGTGGGTAAATGAGTTTCTTACTTCTGTTGAAACCAAACAGTTGACAGTATGGAAACAATTCTGTGGAAGTCAATGGCTGCTGTCAACAGTTTGGTTACCAACATTCTTGTTTATTATTATTATTATTGTGTTCTACATGTTCTACTATCTTCAGTTTTGGGCGAACTATCTAAAACCATTTAAAGAAAAAGACACTTGACACTTGAAATACATTTTAACTGAAATAAAATTGCATTTTAGGAAACGTCAAAACATGAACTGATTATGCATTGGTGTATTTTATCGTTATGCTGTTGTCAGTGTTTCATAAAAGCAAAGCTACTCAATGGTTACAGTGATTTTACCATGGTAAATGGTGTCATTAGGTATGATGCAAAGCAGAGCAATGACTACTAAAAGTTCAATTACAAAATGTATAACCATCACCAGCACACACCACTACGTCTATCCTCAGACAATTTCATGCAAAACAACTCATGGCTTGGGTTGTATTGTTTTTCAAATGTTTTTTGTCTTTAAGCAGAAGTCATCTGTTTTCTTCCTAAACTGTTCCTGTAATATTCATAACCTGGTTGAGGACAGGGCCTGTGAGACAGATTTCAGCCCAAAAACGTAGAAGGTATAATGTGTTTCCCTAAATGCTGACTGCTGCAAAGCAATCTGATAAGATCCAGCAGATAGAAGACGGGAGGAGAGATAGCTAAGGAAATATGTCACAATAAGCTGTCTGAAGATAAACTCTGAGTGTGACTGTTCTGCTCGCTTTATGATATATTTATGGTAAGAATCACTCTGGCATGTTTTGATAGCTGGGAAATTAACGCAAATCTGAAACTGAAAGTGAGTGTAGCTGTGTGAGAGAGAATGTGTGTAAGTAGTCACATCATATTTCAATGTGAAATCTGAAATAGGATTTATATTTCATATAGTCATGCTTAGCCAGACTTTGAGTTTCGGCATAAAGTCTGGCCCAAATAGTTGCTTATTTCAGCCAAGAATCACCCACTGTCTGGATGACACGTAAAGCGATCAGTCGCAGTTCCCAGTTTCGTTAAAGGAAAGGTCATCTTAAATAGTTTTTCTTTAAATATCAATAGCCAGCCAATCAGATTAGAGCTTCTCAGATCAAAACAGAGCTTTCCAATTTTGTGCAATTTGCATCAAACGGTTACTGAACAGACTGTGGCTGCTTTAAGGCTGAAACAAAATTTCTTAAAGTCTGTGTGAACCGGAAATTGCGACTGACTTGTTGCAAAGATTCAATGATCTTAAAGTATTTTAACGTATTTCAGAATGAAATGGAATATTTCATTGAGCATATTTAATTTGACTTGTTGCGAAGTTGACTCGACTTTACAGTATTTTAACGGTATTTCCGAATGAAATGCAATATTGAATGAAAAAAAAAACAGTGCAGGGTTTGGTTTTGGTGCGCCTCCTTGTCACAGCAGACCGATGGTTGGAGGGGAGGTGTTAAGGATATTCTGCCCAATCAGAGATTAAATGCAATTTGATTAAAGATTACAGAGACAAAACATATTTTTATATTATTAACTTGCACAAATTGTTCACCACAAGACTAGTAATATGCACTATCAAAGTAATAGGTTTCAGTTGATTTCATGCAAACTTTAATGCTAAAGTGTGTACTTTTTATGTTAAAATACTTTCTTGTAAGTAAAAAAAAAAAAAAAAAGTGCACATCCCAAAAATTGATATACTGAGACTGGAAGTAGAATGAAAGAGAAGAAAAGGAGGGGATGAAATGAGGAAAATGGGGATTGAGAAAGGAAAAGATGAGGTACAAGAAAGTGAGAACAGGAAGGAGGTTCTGGTTTGGTGCTTGTCGGTACTAAAGTTGTCAGCAAGGTGTAAAGTGGTGGTGTTATTGGTTGCTATGCCATTGCTAAAGGGTTCTGAGTGATGTTTGCTAGGTGGTTATTTACTGGCCTGAATCAAAATAGCCCACCCCATGTCATTATGTGTGTGTCTCATTGATGTGAATCATATCGTGTCAGAGTTATTATAGTTAAAGAGATCACCCAAAAATGAAAATTTATTCAAAAAGGAAAAATTCATTTACTCATCCTCAAATTGTGGGTAAATGAGTTTCTTACTTCTGTTGAAACCAAACAGTTGACAGTATGGAAACAATTCTGTGGAAGTCAATGGCTGCTGTCAACAGTTTGGTTACCAACATTCTTGTTTATTATTATTATTATTGTGTTCTACATGTTCTACTATCTTCAGTTTTGGGCGAACTATCTAAAACCATTTAAAGAAAAAGACACTTGACACTTGAAATACATTTTAACTGAAATAAAATTGCATTTTAGGAAACGTCAAAACATGAACTGATTATGCATTGGTGTATTTTATCGTTATGCTGTTGTCAGTGTTTCATAAAAGCAAAGCTACTCAATGGTTACAGTGATTTTACCATGGTAAATGGTGTCATTAGGTATGATGCAAAGCAGAGCAATGACTACTAAAAGTTCAATTACAAAATGTATAACCATCACCAGCACACACCACTACGTCTATCCTCAGACAATTTCATGCAAAACAACTCATGGCTTGGGTTGTATTGTTTTTCAAATGTTTTTTGTCTTTAAGCAGAAGTCATCTGTTTTCTTCCTAAACTGTTCCTGTAATATTCATAACCTGGTTGAGGACAGGGCCTGTGAGACAGATTTCAGCCCAAAAACGTAGAAGGTATAATGTGTTTCCCTAAATGCTGACTGCTGCAAAGCAATCTGATAAGATCCAGCAGATAGAAGACGGGAGGAGAGATAGCTAAGGAAATATGTCACAATAAGCTGTCTGAAGATAAACTCTGAGTGTGACTGTTCTGCTCGCTTTATGATATATTTATGGTAAGAATCACTCTGGCATGTTTTGATAGCTGGGAAATTAACGCAAATCTGAAACTGAAAGTGAGTGTAGCTGTGTGAGAGAGAATGTGTGTAAGTAGTCACATCATATTTCAATGTGAAATCTGAAATAGGATTTATATTTCATATAGTCATGCTTAGCCAGACTTTGAGTTTCGGCATAAAGTCTGGCCCAAATAGTTGCTTATTTCAGCCAAGAATCACCCACTGTCTGGATGACACGTAAAGCGATCAGTCGCAGTTCCCAGTTTCGTTAAAGGAAAGGTCATCTTAAATAGTTTTTCTTTAAATATTAATAGCCAGCCAATCAGATTAGAGCTTCTCAGATCAAAACAGAGCTTTCCAATTTTGTGCAATTTGCATCAAACGGTTACTGAACAGACTGTGGCTGCTTTAAGGCTGAAACAAAATTTCTTAAAGTCTGTGTGAACCGGAAATTGCGACTGACTTGTTGCAAAGATTCAATGATCTTAAAGTATTTTAACGTATTTCAGAATGAAATGGAATATTTCATTGAGCATATTTAATTTGACTTGTTGCGAAGTTGACTCGACTTTACAGTATTTTAACGGTATTTCCGAATGAAATGCAATATTGAATGAAAAAAAAAACAGTGCAGGGTTTGGTTTTGGTGCGCCTCCTTGTCACAGCAGACCGATGGTTGGAGGGGAGGTGTTAAGGATATTCTGCCCAATCAGAGATTAAATGCAATTTGATTAAAGATTACAGAGACAAAACATATTTTTATATTATTAACTTGCACAAATTGTTCACCACAAGACTAGTAATATGCACTATCAAAGTAATAGGTTTCAGTTGATTTCATGCAAACTTTAATGCTAAAGTGTGTACTTTTTATGTTAAAATACTTTCTTGTAAGTAAAAAAAAAAAAAAAAGTGCACATCCCAAAAAACCCAAAGGCTCAGGTGCAGGACAAAAAATAAGATCAATACAAACAAAGGTCAGTGTCTGACGAAGACCTGATGGTCGAAACGTTGTACCAATAAATTCCTTGGGAGCAGTCTTGTCAGTGTGCAGACAATTTTTTTGTTTTAGTAAAATACTTTCTTGTACCCTTATATACAGAGGAAATATTTTGCACGTTGACTGAAAAACGGAAACACTGTGGCACTTTCAAAACATTACTATGTTTGTTTAAGAATCCGACCAGCCTGACATAGCAACAGCGGCTCAACCAATAGCATGAGTTTGGGGCGTTTCTATGCATTTTATTGACCAGTGGCAGATCTTCGAAATCTTTGGGAAACCTGCAAAAACTTTTTTTTTGTTTGTTTTTTAATTCCATTTGGTGAAGCTAATGGTTCAGAAATTACACAAGTCACACAGACTCTGTGTTGTTCCCTATGCATTTTCACAAGGGCATTTGTGTAATATTTATGCATAACTTAAAATCAAAGTCAAAGTCAAAGTCACTTTTATTGTCACATCACCACAGCACATGTGCCTTGGTTAGTGAAATTCTTGGGAGCGTGCTCCAGACAGTGCAGAAACAATTTACATATAAACATACAGACCTCAACAGATGACAATGTGCAATATGCACATACATATAGTCAGTACACACAGTGTACTATTAGACATACTTACAGTTAGCACTACACATTATACACAGTATGTACATGCAGTTAGCAATACACATTTATACAGAGTATGTACACATTCTACATTATGTAGACATATATACACAAAATATGCGAAGGTGCAACAGATTATACATTAACTGGATACGCAAAATGTCATGGATGTGCATTGGATGGTATCCAGTGGTAGCAGATAGATTATTGTGTTTAAAAGCAGTGTGTATGTATAGTCCAGTATTGAACTGTCGGAGTTAAAGTGCAGTGTGTGGCCTACCGTATTGTGGGAGTAGGCTGTAGGGTGTATTAGTTCTGATTGTTCATTAGTCTGATAGCCTGAGGGAAAAAGCTATCCCTCCAACACGGCTGCCATGCTTGGCACCATCTTGAACCAGTATAATCAGTATAATCAGTATAATCGGTATAAAAGTCAGCTTTTATACCATGTAACAGACTTCCGCACATTTGTGATTGAACTGCAGCTAGTGCTTGTGTGTGTGTGCATCCATAGTTGTTCAGGATTGAAATGTTCTGCAACAGCGCGGTGATGACCTCCAGTGTAGCGCCCAGGGGACCCTTCAGAACACATTTGGTGTCTGCTCTCCACTTCTGCTGTGGCCGTCCCCTCTTATCTGTCACGCCGGCGCCCATGTCTCTCCCCATCACTGTCTTCTCCTCCACCCCACTCTGTAATCACACCATTCTTCTCTATCTTACCCTTTTCTCCCATTGTTTATCCTCTCGCTTTTCTAGCAACTCCTACTCTTTGAATGAGATAAATATTCGTACTATTTTTAGGGGCATTTGCAAATTAATTTGATCCACTTTTGAAAGTGAGTTAAATCATCAGTGTTGGTGTGCATGTTTGTGTTCACAATACAGTGTTATTTTAGTAACATTGATCCTATTCATTCATCATTGATACTATTATAGTTTTTAATTAATTATTTTTTTCCCCTGTTTTCATTTTAATTTTAGTTAAAGGTTTAGTAATTTTGTTGTGTTGTTGTCATGTAGTTTATATAAATATATATATATATATTTTTTTTTTTTTCTTTTCAGTTTTAGTTTTAGTTATGTTAGTACATTAACTTATATTAAATGAAAATAAGAAATGTTTCATTTTGCAACTAGCTGAAATGAAATCAGTTAATACTAATAATCACAATTAACAATTTATCCACATAGTAAACTATAGTCCATTAGCATAATCTCAAACTGCGTGCACTTTAAGAATTACATTTTAGAATGTTTAATTTTAGAATTATTATTAGGGGTTGTTAATATCTTCAGACATACTTAAAACAATGATTTCATTTTATGATATATTTACAGACATTTTAAAACATTGTCAGTATTTATTATAGAAATCTTAAAACAGAAATGCATAAAGGTGGCTAATATTGATGCTATTTTAGTTCTGTTTACTTCACGTCACAACAATCAAGTGAAGAAAGTCGGAATATACAATTTGGTCAAATTTGGCAAGTCTGAATATTACAAATTGGGTAATATCAAAATGGAGTCAACGTAGCAATAGGCTATTTATGTCACATTAATATAGAATTCAATTAATGTTCATTGACAGTTGTGTATAATGTGATGAGGCTCATCCAAATAGGATCAGAACTATGCTTATTATAATTCATCTTATAGTTCACAATGTTTATGCGTGGTCTGTTCTGCTCTGACTAAAACTTGGCCTAATTTCTACCATGCTTTCTACTCTCACCCTTTGTTGACCTGAATAAATGGTGCGTTTCATTGTTTGGATGTTTTATTGTACTAGCGAATAGACTGTTTCATGTCTCTTGCTTTGAGAACACTACCGTTAAAAGGTTTGAAAGGTTCTTATAAAGAACACCAACAATCAACCAGACCCTAAAAGACATGGCAGATTGGGTGTCATTGAGATGGAAGGAAGGGACTTGTTAAGTGGGAACAAGATGATCTGAATGTGTCTGGTCCCTGGGGAGGCATTGTTATACTGATCTCTGATAAGAAGCAAAGAGAACATCTGCCAAAGATTGTGACCTCTGTTGAGCTTTAGAAGAAGAACGGGGCAGGTCTAGACTCGCAGGGCAGCTGAACCATAAAGAGTCCAGAATTAGGACACTACAGTTAAAATGTGAGGGTAGCTGCATAGTAAGTCAGACTCCACACTTTTCTTGATCGGTTTGTCTTGGTCACTTGGGATCCAACTTCAGGTGCAGCAGCCCAGAACTGAAAGAGTGGCAGCAAAACAACACTCCCCCCCACCCCCCTCCATATGTGACAACTGTGCTTTTTGTCTTTGTTTGTTTTCACCATTTTAAATCACTCCCTCTTACCTGGGGCAACATTCATGCCTGTAAGGGCCCGTTCAGTCATTTTGTAGCATCACCCTTCACGTATGTTGGTTTGAGATGCACAGTTCTTGAAGTATGCTTGGTATGTTTGGTTTGTTTTAACACAATAGATTGAATCAGTCCTCATAGTCACAGTTGATCTACTGATATTACCCTACCATCGCAATCTTACCCAATGTGAGTTGGTGTTGTCTCCCAGCCAACTCTGTTTCCATATTATCTGTCTGTTTTTTCTCAGGTTGAATGGATCACTTCCCAACAACATTGAAATCAAGAACAACACCCTGTTCTTCAAAGGCCCGGTGACCTATGAGTTCGGCGGGACATACGTCTGCGACGCCACCAATAGCATTGGCACACGCTCTGGACTTGTAGAGGTCAACGTGACGGGTAAGTTGTGGATGTTTATCTGAGATACCGTGTGCGTGTGTTGGTACTGGGAAAGCTTTAACCTGGGCCCAGGCGATTGTAGCTCCAGAAATGTGAGTTGTATAGGAGTCGAACAATAAAAAGAGCTGTAAAAAGAGAATCCTTAATTTACAATTTCGATAAACACTCTTCATCAAACACATAGATACGGTGGCTACAAAAAGTATTTGAACACTTAAGCCAAGGGTTTTTGAACTTTTTGATGCGATGGAGCACTGATGATCGCTGAAGAATAAATACATTTAAAAAAATAAGTAATAATGAATGAATAAACAAGCAAACAAACTTTTTTTGCTAGTTCTTTGTTCTCGTTTTTCTCCAGAAAACTATATAAATTTTTATAATTAATTATAAAATTATATTCATTGTATAATATTTTATAATATATACATTTTTATATATATTTTATAAATGTATATTCTCCATAAATTATATTAATTTGTTGTATTATTACAGCCAGGACTGTCAACAAAATAAATACATTACAGTTAATTTCAAAATTGAAAAAAAGAAATAGCAATAAAATAAAATTGGATTATATTTAATTAATTTTATATTTAAACATTTGAAGTGTGGCTTTAGTGTCAGAATACTTTTTGTGCATGTTGAAGCCTGCACATGATTTTTCTTGCACTGCTGCATAAAGCAGACTTGACTTGACTTGATTTATGGAAATTGTCCTCCTACCTATCGGTACGACCTGACAGTGAAGAAGAAGAAATTGCTGTCATTTCCTTTTCTTTAATTTCTCACACTCACATCACACATCAGGCTATGCTGCCAGCAGCCACAATATTCACTCACACACAGACAGATGCCGAGATACAGAATAAAGCGCCTTGTCATTTTCTCCCCAAAATAAAATCACAGTTTTGTTGCCTCTTTAGTATTGATCACAGGCACTTTGCAACAAACTCACATTTCTCCAAGCTACTTTCGCCTCCCACATCTTCTCCGTCTTCTCCGCCTTTATTTGGGTGAAAACAAGAACTACAAACGAAAACAGAGCCAAACTGGAGCCGTTCCTCTGCCTTCACTCTAATTGTCATATCAAAGACGTTTAGTTCACTCCTCAAGCTTTGCAATACATTAAGAATAAAAGACAATAATGAAAGGAGGTGATGCTGCTCTACATTGCTGAGCAGAACCCCAAATTTGGTCCAATATTTGAAGAGATTGGAGGCTTCTGCAGTTTTGTTCTGATAAAAGCTTGTACGCCTCTCTCTTTGCTTTAACAGGGAGCTTCTAACTTGCAGAGCTTTGCATGCTGGAGTCGACAGCTCGGCTTTTCTCCGTCATTTCATTTATTTGTGTGCGTGGGGTGTGTTTGCATGTAAACTTTCAGACCTTCCTCGTCCCATCGCGTCTCAGCTGCCGTTTCTGGTGATGTAACGCGGCAGGTTTTGATGATACGCTCCGCAGGGATGGGCAAACCATTAATGGAAGTCTGAATGGCTGATATTGAATGAGGAGTGAATGAGGAGTGGTGAAAATATTCTGCAGGCAGAACATTTCTGCCACTGATATGTATAGAGCTCCTCTGCTTTGGAAGAGATTATGTTGATCGTTTTCAAAATGGCAATGCAGGAAATGGTGAGAGTTCAACAATAGGTCACGATGCGAGTTTAAAGGACGTTGGTACTTTGCAGTGGTACATTTTATTATTATATATATATATATATGTATGTATATGTATATATATATATATATATAACTATATATATATATAGTTATATATATATATATATATACATATACATATATATATATATATAAAAACTGAACGTACAAGCACAACAAACATTTATGGTACAAAACAAAACAACCCCTTACCTCCCTCCCCACCCTAGGGACTTAAATCATACCAACTATAACTATATACAGTATAACTATATATATATATAGATAAACATTATATAGTTTATCTATTGTATTTCACACAAGTCTCAACTTTTTCTCAGATGTTTCTCCAAGAGATATATTTTTGTTTATTGCAAGTAAAAGGCCTTTTAGTATAATTCTGAAACTGCCCACTTCAGGTCATGGTACATGTCTTTTTGCTGTAAAATCTTTGCTTATTTTTAACTTTCATTTTGTCAGTAATATTTCAAGACAAACACTTACTAGACTGAGGCAACTTACTTCATCGTATACAATATACAGTATATTTTGTCCCCCAAAGATGAAAAAGACAGAGCTTTGATCATAAAACTAAGCATTCAAATATCATCTTACTAAGATATATTATTTGTAGTGACAGCTGATATTAGTATGCATTTTATGTAATTAGTCTGCTATATATCTTATATCAGAATTGTATCTTATTTTTTTGGCTATATCAGCAACTATACCAAATTGCATATTTTTGCTCAGTTTGGGCCTCTGAATATTTTTCCCCCTCCTCGATTATAAGCTTCATATTGTCTTATATAATACTATATGAGCAATAAAAATCCTGATATATCAAATATGATACTCCAAAAATGCATTTTTTAACGATTACATTTTGGGGGGAAAAGAAATCAGACCATTATTTTACATTTCAGGCTTTACATGGTTACAAAAATAGACGTAGAAAACGAATGTTGGTAGTATACAGGTAGCTAATTTTATAGAATGGGAAATCATGGACTATTTTGAGATATTGTTGAGATCTCTTCTGAGCATGCAAGTGAGATTACTATAGTCATTTTCTTAGGGAACAAAAATGGGAAGCAGGAAACTTCCATTTTGTTTTTAGGAGAAGCAATCGAGCTATTAAATACATCTCATTTGTGAAACATTCCCATATGAGTTCATGTCCCCTCATTTCTGTACAGAAGGAAGTTTCTCTTCAATAAAAATCCTGATATATCAAATATGATACTCTAAAAATGCATTTTTTAACGATTACATTTTGGGGGGAAAATAAATCAGACCATTATTTTACATTTCAGGCTTTACATGGTTACAAAAATGGACGTAGAAAACGAATGTTGGTAGTATACAGGTAGCTAATTTTATAGAATGGGAAATCATGGACTATTTTGAGATATTGTTGAGATCTCTTCTGAGCATGCAAGTGAGATTACTATAGTCATTTTCTTAGGGAACAAAAATGGGAAGCAGGAAACTTCCATTTTGTTTTTAGGAGAAGCAATCGAGCTATTAAATACATCTCATTTGTGAAACATTCCCATATGAGTTCATGTCCCCTCATTTCTGTACAGAAGGAAGTTTCTCTTCAAAAAACTTAATTCTCATAAAGTTGCCCGTCTCCTCTCTCCTTCTCACCCTCCAAAGGTCACCAGCAGAACATGCACTGAAAGCCTTATTTGTTCTTATTTGGCAATGCCTGGGGATTGTTTCAGCATTGCATGTGCCCATTTGATGATAGATCCCTCCTCTAGGGCAAAGTCTATCCTTTGATGGATCATTCCATCCAGGGTCGTTGAACCTCTGTCTCTCTCTTTCTATGTTTGTGGGAGAGCTCACAGATATTGATTGAAGTATCAAAATTATTATTATTAAGAGAGATTGTTGGTGTGATGTGTTTCATATGCATGTAATTTTTCATTTTTGTGCAAGACAAACATAGGTAATATTTTTGTGGGCAGTGTAAACACTGTGGTGTTCAACATGTTGACTTCTGGCTCAACCAGTGGTGTGAGTTTGAGGCTACCTGGCTGACTGAACAATAAACGACTTGTTTTGTGATTTGCAATTTTGTCTGGTGCCACCAGTGGTGCATAAATGCAGTTTTAAATATTCTATACGCTGTGCTCATCTGCAGTGTTGAATCTTTCAGTTTCATCATGCCTTTTTTATGTGTTCATTATAGTTTTATTTTGTAGTCACAACTTCCATGGCAGCAGCTGTTCTCCCTTTACGACTCCATATTAATCTGATTCACATTCCTGGGAGTATTTCATTAATAACCGTGACTGAGATGTCCGGCCTACGCACAATGCATTGAGGACTGTAGTTGATGCAGAATCCTTTGTTTTAAAGTCAACATGAAATCAAAATTTACCCTATTTTACTTTCCTAATGCACATTCCTGGTCTTATTCTGCTTGTTTCTTCAGTCCAAAAATGTTTATAATTGTTGGACTCTAATATGTCAACAAAATGAAACAAGTATTTTAAACCTTACTTCATCCAATGTTCAGATTTTTGAAAATTAGAGCATATATAATTAGATAATGGCATATTTGCATATTTAAACATAACATTTCAGAAAATGTGCAATGCAAAACATTTTGCATTACTTAATGCATTCAATCAACCGGTAAAGTATGTATGTATGTATGTATGTATTTTATTTAAATTTTTTTTTTATATATTTACCTGGGTTGTTTTGCCTTCAACATGAAATCAAAATAGACTCTATTTGTTTTCTTAAAGGGGTCATATGTTGCGATTTCAATTTTTCCTTTCTCTTTGGAGTGTTACAAGCTCTTGGTGCATAAAGAAGATCTGTAAAGTTGTTCTTTTTAGCAGCATCATATGACCCCTTTAATACACATTACATATCTTATTGTGCTTGATTCATCAGTCCAAAAATGTTTGTAATTGTTTATCTAAATGTATTAACATGTTTTGCCTCTGAAATTAATTTTCTTTTTGGCTGACGTTTCGAATCTCTCTTACTTTTCGATCCTCCAACCGTCTGGTTCCATTCTGGTGTGCAACAGCTATTTCAATCAACGCCCGATGGATAAAATCAAGTTCTGCTCTACTAATTTTTATTGTTGAATATCTTGACTCAGGTTGCAGAAGTAAAATGGGATGCAAGCAGCTTGTGTTGACTTTAAAGTGAGATGGCATAATCGAATCGCAGTCAGTCCAGGATACAATGCGAACCCTCCTTGACTGTCTGTAAATCTTCACTGCCGCAGCTCTACAGTCCCTGTAGTTTTGTACCGCAGCCTGCATGGCCAAACGAGATGCTAATAAGGCTTTTCCATCTGTCCTTATCAT